ATAAGGAGAAGCCATCCAAAGAAATGCCATCCAATGCCAACAGAAATCCTCTAGGTAAGTAGATCTTGCCAAAAGACTCCAGCTTCCAGCCAAATAGAAACACATAGAATACCTTAAATGCAGTGAAACTTCTGTAACAAAGAATTTTTGTTTTCCCATTTGGATACTTTGGATCTAACTGCCTCATTTATATTGCAAATAATTTTTGTCACATTGTTACTCAAAGAGGAAAAACGCCGGTGGTTTCTTTCTCTCCAGATGTTATAAACAATACAGCTAATAGTAAGAAAACAGAAATCCTTCTCAGCTTTAGTGAAACTCTCCGCATTGCCAAAAAAATCAAGAGTCTGTTTCAAGTTAGGCCTAAGTAAAAAGCCATTAAGGTCAGGCAAAAAGTATTTGAGAATATAAAAAGAGATGTCACAGTCAAAATATAAGTGAGAGTGCGTTTCCAAGTTTCCAACACACAAGGAGCAATTAAGAGGCGTCTGGATGCCTCTAGAAAACAAATTATCTGCTGTTTTTAGCTTGCCGAGCACAGCCATCCAGGAGAAGCAAGCAAACTTAAGCACATGGTGTTTGTGCCAAATATGATTATACCAATCCACCTTAGGAAAAGTAGAGTAGTAATGTTCAATATAGTTTTTAAAAAGCCACTTAGCAGAACCATTCCAAAACATCTCATCTTTTTCCGAAAAAATCACATTCGAAATAGAATCTTTAACAACCGTAGGTAGAGAATGCGGTAAATGCCAATCACCATTGTAATAAAAATCCCTGATCAATAAATCGCCAAGTCCCAGGCCAGATGCCGCTGGGATCACAGTTCCATTAAGCCAAGGATCCCACACAAAAGAGAATTTAGAATATTGTGAAACAGAGAAAGAGATCATCCCTTTAATTTTGGTAGCAGTTTCAACAATGCGATGCCAGAACTTAGAGGCAGAAGTGGGTGGAGGTTTCCAAGGGGATATGAATTTAGCTTTGTACCAGCAACTTAATAGATTTTGAGAGTTGTAAAATCTGCTTATAATGGAACAGTGAACCCCAAAATAAAGAGCCTCTATGGAAGGAATACCGAGTCCACCGACAGATTTAGGAGTAGTAACTTTAGACCAAGAGATGAGATGTAGTTTCCTCTCCACCAAATTGTTGTGAAATAAGAATCTAGAGCATAGTTTATTAATAGTAGCACAACAACCCTTGGGTATTATAGAGCCTCTGATCCAGTAAGCAATGGAATTGTTAATGGTGAATTTAAGGAATTGTACTCTACCTGCAAAAGAGAGAAATTTGTTTTTCCAGCCAGCAAGTAGAGCAGAAATTTTGCTCAGCAGTGGTTGGAAGTGAGTGGATTTAAGTCTTTTTGAAGAGATAGGGAGTCCCAAATAAGTAAAGTGGGTGTTGACCTGATGAATACCAAGTACATCGCAAATCTCTTGATTAACGCTATCTAAATTGGAAAAGATGATAGCACTTTTATTGGCGTTGATATGGAGTCCAGATAAAGAGCCAAAAAGTTGAAGACATCTATTGAGCTGAATAGCATTATCTCTAGAAGATTCTCCAACCACCAAAAGGTCATCAGCATACATTAAATGATTAATGTAGATATCATTGTAATTAAAGCCTTTGAAATTGTAAGCTTCAGAATTATTGATGAGAATGTTAGATAAGCCATCCATAGCAATGCAAAAAAGCAATGGTGAAAGAGGGCAACCTTGTCGAAGACCATTAGAAGATTTAAAGAAACCCTCAAGAGAGCCGTTAAGACAAATAGAAAAGTAGACATCGGAAATGCAACCTTTAATCCAAGCAACAAAAACCTCAGGAAAACCTTTCTGGATCAGCCTGGCTATAATGAATTCTCTAGAAACCGTGTCAAAAGCTTTTTTAATGTCCAACTTAGCACAGAAATGCTTAAAAGGTCTCTTGAAATCTCTAAGAATTTCAGAAGCAAGGATGATATTATCCGTGGAGCATCTATTGGCAATGAAACCGGATTGGCTTTCATGAACAATAAAGGGAAGGACCAATTTGAGTCTATTGGCAATGATTTTAGCAATAATTTTGTATAACACATTGCAAAGAGATATGGGTCTGAAATCATTTATGTTTGAAGCATGAGAGCACTTAGGGATTAAAGCAATGGCCGTAGCTTTAACCCCACTTGGAAGAGATCCGGTCATGAAGAAATTGTTTACCGCATTAAAAACTTGCAATCCAAGAAGGTGCCAAGACTTCCTGTAAAACGCATATGTAAAGCCATCCGGACCCGGAGCGGTGTTTTCTTTGCCAATAAAAACCGCAGTTTTAACTTCATCAAAAGTTATAGGAGCCACAAGCATGTCAAGAAATTGGGATGGAACCGTATTACCAGGAGGAATTTCCAAAGGCAAAACCTGAATAGGTTGAACAAGGTTGAACAAGCCCTCAAAATGATTAACAATAGCTTGGGAGATGTCTTTAAAATTGGTAAAGTGCCCATCAGAGGTGGTCATCTCCTTAATGCTATTTTTATTTTTTCTGCTTCTAATCTTGGCGTAAAGAAAGCCAAGATCATCCTCCCCATGTGAAAGCCATGAGGCTTTTGCCCTTTGAGCAATCCAGGATGTCCATTGAGCTTGCAGAGAAGCAAGATCATCATTGATTTTCTTGAGGTTGCTGTTTATCTCCAAATTTAAGGGATGTGCTTGTATCTCAATGAGACATTGATGTTGCTTATTTTTGATCTCGAGCAGAGCATTAGAAAGAGAAGAGGAAGAGGCCCAATTCCTATGCTTGAGTGCTCTTTTAAGGCATTTCAGACTATGACAAAAAGCGGCCATAGGACTTTTGGAAGTCCTAGAAGAGAAGGCAGACCAAACATCATCCCAGAATCCGTTTTTGTTAATCCAGTAGTTTTTGAACATGAACCTGGCAGAAGAAGGCTTATCATATGAAGATTTAAAAATAAGAGGAGAGTGATCAGACCCAAGAGGGGGTTCCACAGTGTAGTAGGCATTTGGCAGAAAATCCAGAAGGGCATTATTGACCAGGACTCTATCAAGTTTGATATGAATTGGGTTGTCCACTTGTTGATTGAACCAGGTGAAGAAAAGACCCGTGGAGGAAAGGTCTTGCAACCCACAATTAAAGATCATATTATTGAGTTCACCCAGTCTACTGCTTCTGATAATGGTGCCACCCTCTTTCTCAGATTCAAAACGGCAGCAATTAAAGTCGCCCATAATCACCCAAGGCTGATCCAAATGGGGAGCAGAGTCTAAAAGAAGGTCCCAAAGACTTTTCCTTTCTTCCACAGTGTTGGCAGCATAGATCACTGAAAGGAAAATGGGTGGAAAAGATCCCACCGAGAGTACCCCATGTATGAGTTGAGGAGAAGTGAGAATTTGGTTAAAAGATAAAACCGAACAATCCCACTTGATCCAAATTCTACCAGGTGTAGAATCCAGAAAATTATTACAACTTCCTTCATTCTCAAAAAGCCGATGAGAACGCAAAAACCAAGGATCATCAACTGACGCGTTGGAAATTTTAGCTTCCAAAATACAAAGAAGCTTGAGATCGTGAGAGCTGATTAAAGACTTGCATTGACTAACTTTATCCGGGTTATTAAAACCCCTAACATTCCAACTAGCAAAGGTTGGCAAGGACATGATGATAAATTTAAGATTTGGCCTTCTTGGCCGATTTCCCTTTAGGGGGCTTTGACTTGTTGGGAGACTTACCTTTATCTGTAGAGGATCTTGTATTATGTAAAATTTTTTCCTGGCTTAAAGAAACCGAGGGGTCACCTTCAGGATTGGGGTTTGAGGCTGATTCAGCCTCAGACGTGGACTCCAAAGAGTCCACAGGGATATGATCATCCGATTGAAGTGAAGCAAATTTGTTCAAGAGAGGGATTTTAGGGGGTTGCAATAAACTGGGTGAGGCCGGTAAACCGGAAGAGGAGGACTCTTCAGTAGGAGAGTTAAGATTAGGAAGAGAGGAAAGTTTGGCTGGTGAAAGGATTGGTTTAGGCTGTAGAGGAGGCTTAGTGGAAGTAGGCGGATCAACAGGAAGTTGACCAGAAGCAGAAACAGGAGGAAGCAGGGTAATGGTGGGCGCAGGAGAGTCGGCTAAGGGATTGGAAATAACAGTAGACGGAGGCGGCTCAGCAATGCTTAAAGACTTGGGGGGAGGTAAAACAGAAGGTGATCTGTTTGGACGGGTGGGAAGAGATCTAGAGGTGCTACGGCCTCTAGATTTTGAAGGTTGGGGAGGAAGAACAGGTTGGGGATTGGGGTTTTGGGGGCAGAGGGAGAAAGGATGGATCAAGGAACCACAGCCTTCGCATTTATCCGGTTTCCAGTCGTAAAAAACTTTTAAGGTTAGATCCTCACCGTCAATATCTATAGGAATTTCATCATGTAATACAGAGTCTTTAGTGATAAGGACGCATACCCTCGCAAATGTCAGCCTGGAGCGACTGGCAGTAAGAGCATCGACAGAAATCGGAACTCCAATATAGCTCGAAATTTTGGAAATACCTGTAGGTGTCCAGAGCACAAGGGGGAAATCCACAATTTTGATCCAGATGGGAATAGGCGTAGATTCATCACGCTTGGGTTTGAACCTTGGAGACCATCTCTGCAGGATAAACGGCTTTCCCAACAGGAACCATGGCCCACCAGAAAGAACCATCTCAAGATCTTCTTCGGTTGAAAACTTCAATAGGAAAAAGCCATCAGCAAGAGAGAGAAGTTTCATAGAACCTTTTAATGTCCAGAGTCGCTGCATGGCTTTGAGGAGTCTCTCGTAGTAAGGGCGTGGGCCAAGAGAATAACCGATCAGAGCTGAGTTCCAGACAGACTTCCCTTCCGAAAGATCATCAGCTTTAAAAGAAAGCTTTTGGCTCGGGGAGAAAAAGGACACGGGAAAAGTGGCAGGTTTGAAGGAAGAAGCCGACACGTTCGCGGCGTAAGAAGGGCCTCCATTTCCAGCTAGAGAAAGCCCACCTGGAGAAGGTCCAAGCATAGAGGAAGAAGGAAGACGTGGAAAATCGGGAGAAGAAGAAGTCATCGCGGGAGGGAGAGGCCCTCCCGGGCGGAAGCGAGAAGAAAGCTCAAAGCGGCAGAAACCCTAACAGAGCGAAACCCTCGAGAGGCCCTCTGATTCCCCTTCCTTTGCAGGTTTCTTCATAAGCGATCGCATATAAATATATGATGCAAACAAATACGAACAAAAGGAAAATTCTATCTTTATGTTTTTCCGTATCATCATCGTTGGCGTTGTAAAACAGGCTTTCAAATTGAACACATATTTTGGCCACATCCTCAAGATAATTGAAAAAATAAAGGGAAATTTACATACATACCACTATATAGCTATTATTTTACCTATCTAACACATTCTTTATTAATATTACATGTATACCACTTAAATCTCTATTTCACAACATTTCTACCACTCCATCTCCATGCACGCTAACGACGTCGTCTCCATGGTTCAGCAGCTGCCTACCACTGTTGCTTGCCATCCTTGACCTTCGCAGCATGTATATGTACGGGGAGATAGCTTACCCTCCCGGCGGAGCCACTGGCCTCACGGTGCTCTCCCTCACGAAAAACTCGGTCACCAGCAGCATCCCTCCCACACTAGGCAGGTTGAGAAATCTCTCATTTCTCGATCTCTCCTGGAACATGCTCTCTGGCGATCTGCCTGCAGAGTTTACAGGCATCGAAAACGTCACTTACCTCGATCTCTCCTCTAATTTTATCACCGGAGTAGTACTGCCGGAGATCAGAGACTTGTCGAACTTGGAAACCTTGATTCTGGCTAATAATAGCTTCACTGGCTCCATCCCTTCGGAGCTAGGGAATGTCTCTTCCTTCTTTACACTTGATCTCAACTTCAATTCGCTATTCGGCGTGTTACCTAATAGCTTGAGTAATCTTAGGAAATTGCGACATCTGAAATTGATGAGTAACTTCCTCAGTGGATTTCTAAGTTCGAATATCTTCTATGGTTTGTCAGTGCATTAGTCGGTCACATTGAGCTGAAACAACTTCTCCGACGAGCTTCCAGATTCACTGTGGTCGCTCTCGAAGTTGTGATTCCTTGATATCTCCTACAATAACTTTATGAGCAGTCTGTCGGAGTTCTCCTCTACCATTAATCATATATGAAATCATTAGAGGGGAGACGGAGTGGTAGAAATGATGTGAATCAGGAATTTGAGTGGTATAAGTATAATATTAATAAATGAGGTGTTAGATATGTAAAAATGATAGGTATATAATGATATGTATGTAAATTTCCCAAAAATAAATTGATATTTTCATAAGACACTTAAAAAAAAAAATCATTTAATCCAAATATAATTTAAAGAAAGAAAATTTTAAATTTTAAGTCAAAATCATTCAAATTTATATTTCAATAAATTTATAATCAAATTAAATGTCTTGACGAGAAGAACTCGTTGACATCAAAATTGATCATTTGCGGGTCCAAATGACTTCAGATCAAACATTTGAAATATTGTTGATAATTTTAAGATATTAATTAGATGATCAAATGATCTTCGAATATTATATGTTTATAGTTAAATTGAGCGTCTCAATGAGACAATTTCAAAAAGTCCAAGATTACCTTATTCAGATATTATTAAGGTAATTAAATATAAAAAGAATAATCAATGATCAAAAGAATTAATATGAACTATGTTGTAGAGTGTACCAAATTTTGACTATATTTATAGAACATGATAGAAAATTATAGTTGTTTAACCTTCCATGCAAAAAATTAAAGAACAGAAGGAATATTCTTATTGTGTTTCCTAAATATATATGTCAATTTGTGGGTTTACGTTAGTCTTAATTTGTTAGGCTCGGTGCATTCTCTCTATGTGTCCACCTTGGTACAGATTACAAGGTTAATATGCTAAAGTTATTAAGCTTATATTGGGCATAGTATAGACAATCAGTTCAATGCATTTTCGTCGTATGTTCGTTTTAGTATAGACACCAAGGTTGCAAGTGCCATTTTTTTTTTCTCAGATCAGATTTATTACAAACATTGTATGTTGTATAGTCCCATTGATGCTCACTAGGGGTGCGAATGAGTCAAGCTAGCAGCTCGAACTTGACTCGTTAACGAGCTCAAGAGTCCAGCTTATTGAGTTTCGAGCTCGAGCTCGATCAGAATTTCGAGCGCAAGTTTGATCCAGATGAAGCTCAGTTCAATTAAACGCATGCGAAACTAGTGGACTACGGAACCCAAACCGTGAAAGGCAAACTGGTGAAGCGCGTGTGTCGAAAGCAAACTGCGAAAGCAAACTGGCGAACCACATGTGATGTTGGATCTTGGAAGGTGAAGCACATGCACGGAAGTCGAAGCGCGCACTATTGCAAAACCACAGAAATTTGGCTCACGAGTCGAGCTCGCATTAGGCATGACTTGAGCTCAACTCGACTCGTTTGCACCTCTTGTACCCATTTTAGCTTAAATAACAAAGTTGGCACACTGTTCTCTAGTTTTGCACTTGGCCTTGTATTGATGTTAGGCCCGGTGCATCACCATTCTATGTCAACTTGGCATAAAAACCAAGGTCAACATGCGTATGTTTTAATGCCAGAGCTCACATATGCTCCCATGCTTCATGTTTTTTTATAAATATCAAAATTAACATATCCAACATTTTTCTTAGTATGCCACTAAATTTAATAGCGTAAGGTCAACCTGTGTACAATCGGGCAAATTCAAGTTCAACCCGAACCCGATCCGTTGACCTGAATTGACACCCTTAGTGTCCACTGAAGCTACAACGGACTTAATTAGTTTCTAAGGAGCTGAACAAAACCAAAATCTCAAATTCGATGGCAAATCTTGAATAAAAAAGTCTACAAAATACTTGATCCCTCATGAAAAAAAGGATTCCTCCTGCATCCTCGTAAGCAAAAAGAGAAGTCGTCCATATCCCGTTGACAAATGATGGCCTACTCCACCCAAGAGCACTTTGTCAACAGTTGAACAATGAAAATAGAAGATGAGTACCTGATCGAATTCATCATATTGTTTAGGAAAATGATTCAAATCTCTCACCTTTAGCAACATCTACTAATTCAGAACTTGATTGGAAAGCCATATTTCAACTCCTTATGTATTCTTTTATTCTTTATTTATAAATGTACATAATTTTCATGACATAAATAAAAAATTTTAATGAATAATACAACCTATAAATCCAAATTATTCTGTAAGAGATATTAATAGAAGTGGTAATAATTTATTTCTCATTTGTCCATAATACTATGCTCCACTTAATATAAAAAAGCTCCTTGACTCCATTAAAAATTTTGAAACGCATACTTTCTAGAATTATCACAGTACATGTTTATTAGCTAATTTTTTTTATATTAAAAGTATTTTATCATATTGAGGAACTACACAACAATCTGCACATTTACAAATCAAGAATTAGCAAGAGATGATAAGCATCAATTATAAGTTCCACCTAGGAGTGACAAAACAGGTTGAAAAGTCCAGTTCAGTGTCCAATCTAAAATTGATCCGACCCGTATACAATCAATCCAAACCTAACACATTTAATAAATGGGTCAAAAACACCAACTCAAACTCCACCCTCTAACAACCCAAATGACATAAACCCAACCTATTAATCCGTTTTAATTAAAAACATATTTTTATAACTTATTAGCTATAAAATTTAGAATATTTGATCAAAAATAATAAGATTATACTCACATGCACAAAAATTTAGAAACAAATATATTAAATAAATCATTTTCGGGTCAAAAGTGGATTTGCAGGTCAACTCGAACCCAACCCGTTTGTTAAACTATATATATATATGTATCACAAATCAAGCATAAATATTTTCAAAACTGGGAACAGCATCAATTTACATTGGCAGAGAAACCATAAGATCTCAAACTGATATTAACAAGCAAATAAATGTAGCATATATGTACAGAAAACCTCTTTTGCTAATTTGATTGCCTGTAATGAATTAAGACAGGGAAAGCTGAAGGACTCTTAGACTGTTGCTGTTGTATATGTTTAGAAGAAGAGAAACTTTAATTGCTCATTTAACTAATTTAATTTTTAAATAGAATATCAAATAAAATTCCACCAGATCTGATGCTTGCCTGTGTGAGCTCAGTAGAGACAATGCTGCCATAGCTTACATCTCAATGTCATCCAAATCAGGCAAGGGAAAGCGAAGTATAGCTGCAATACCTGATAGTTGAGCCAGTTCTGTTCAAATTTAAAAAAAAAAAGTTAATAAGTAGAAGGCCTTAGGAGAACTTTATTTTTAAGGAAAAGAAAAAAAGACAGGAACCACTCACGCTCTCCAGAGACATGCATTGATGAGAAAATATGGACAGAGCCTCCTGAGTTCTTTACAAAGTCAACCAAATTGACATATTTCTTCCTTGCCAACACATCTGCATTTCTACAAATCAAACCGTTCAATCAGGATAGCGGCCTAAACAGAAAAGCAGCTATAGGAATAAGTGAGAAGAACGGTGGCTCAAACAGGAGGGGAAGGATAAACATGCCAATAAGATAAGAAGAAAGATCAACAAGGAAAACACAATAAATTATAATATCCTTAATAATGACGATATTTATAATAATAAATAATATAAAATCCTACAAACAAATATTTACCACATGTAATAAAATTGATATGGTAAAATAGTAACTCCAATAGCTCAAACATGGTTAAAAATATTTAAACTTGGCAAACCACCCAAATATAGTTCTTTTACACACAACTCTCCTTGGCCTATTGGTTGAGAGCTTAGGCTTCCAACTAAGAGGTTCAGGGTTCGAGTTCATGTGTATGCGTTGTGTGTGTGAGTTTGCCTTAAATGGCCTAAATGTCCCCAAAAAAAAAATATAGTTCTTTTCCGCACATGACAATGGGTCAAAATAAAACCATCAGTTTTTTAGATGTGTTTTCCATACATGAGCAACCCAATGAGCCATTGAATTGCAATTTTTTTAATGAATAACTAGTTTTACAAAAAAGGAAACTAGAATTAGGAAGAAAACTAAATTGTAAAATTCAACTTTTGCTAAATAAAGGATAGTGCTAGGAAGAAAAGACAATTAGACCAATAAGTATCTTTGATTTAAAAAGATCAAGTTCTTGATTGAATGGTTATTTGGTCTAACTACTAATTAGATGTTTAAGTATATTACTGCCTAATGTGGTAAAGAGGGGTTCCCTTATGAATCATGGTGGACCATTGATTAATTTTATTAGTGAATTATCTAACAAATTTAATGTTATTGGGACCAAGCATAGTTGTACACTAGCATTAGGCAACACGCCCCATCTGCACCTGAATATGGGGGTGGACACTGCAATAAGGGAAACAAGCTTAAAACATAGCTTAAACATAGAAGGTACAGCGGTAAACTCAGGCCATTTTCCAGTTTCCACATAACAGTTCTTAACCAAATATGGTAGATTATCATGACGCCAAAGAAAGTCAAAGAAATGAGGGACAAGTTTAATAATTAGTAACTCCATAAATTTTAAATATGAAAGTTCAATTCTATTAAATTAGCAATGATGTATGAAGATGTGTTTTAGCTTTCACAAGTGAACTTTTTCATTTATCATCTTACTTTTAAAAAGTCATTCAAATTCGGTGTAGGATTTGTTTTGCATGGCCCCAGTCAAGCCCAATCCCCACTATTGTAATTAACCAAGAGTCTGTGCCACTTGCATGAAATGTATGGGGAAACACTGTAAGGATCCCATTAAATTATTTTATCAATCGATCTTACTAATGATCGATCTCCATTTCCATTCAAGCTTGAAAATTAAGAAACCAAGAACAACTCAATCCATGCAGACAAGGTGAATAAGTTGGCATAGAAGAATTTAAAAGCAATTACTTTTAATTTTATTTTTGTACTTCTATAACATACTGTACATGATGGGACAAGTTCAATTAATATCCTTCAGTCTCCATTCTTCGACCCCAACTGGGAGTTTGAAGATTCCGTTGAAGACTACGTCGACCGCATACTATTTCATCTAACCGAGACTATCGACAAACAACGACCATCAGGATTGATAACTCATCGAACGTTCACCTGCGCCTTCTTCTCTGGCTATCTTCCCGTGGTTCAAGATTGTCGGCGTCCTAACTCTCTTGGTGGCGTCATTTAGATTGCTGAAAGTCTCTCTACGCTAAAGCCTCTCATATAGTGTGAGTGAGAAAGGAAACTCTAGGTGAAAAACTCTAAATATTAACCTGTGGATTATTATTACGGCTCATTTAATTTTATTGTAATTTTCTGATATTATTTTAAGTTGTTTCGTTCTCCCAAAATTGTGACTGCATGCCAAAGAAAACGACAATCGAGAGTTCTTAAAATTAATTTTTGTGGCTCATTAATCTTAAAGTAGCAAGCTTTACAATAATTTTATCATTTCCTTGCAATTCATGTTTGTAACACATCAATTGCGTCCTAATATTTAAATGGTTTCATACAAATTATTGATACAGAAGCAGGATATAGAATAATCTTACTTGAAAAGGCTATCTGTTATTAGAAGAGTTTGAATAGCCATTCGTTCATTTGCTACTTCAACATGTCTAGGGCCATAGCATGCACGGGCTGTGTCCTGTGCAATAAAGAATTCAAATTAATAAAAAAGCAGAAAAAAACTGAATTTGAGGACTTGTAACACAAGAAACTAAAAGTATCCATAAAAAACAAGTACATATATGTGCAAGGAGACACCCAATCCAATACCCTGCATCGCCCATCACAAAATAAAATGTACAAACGTCAGCATTTTTCCATTAGTTTGAGCCATCCCATGCAATAAAACTTAAAGTTAAGAATTTTCAAAATGGTCATTTTCCAAGCAAATGCAATTTGCTAAAACAAGTGATCCCAATGCAGTCTCATATTCTTGATGAAATTATTGAATACTCACTATTATTGGCCACTTTCAAGTTACGCGATAGAAAATACCATAGATGTTTCTTCGCGTGCAATCTCAACATTAGGTTAATCCCATGGCATAAAGATCACATCTCATGCACAATTCTAAGGCTTTCCCTGCTTTTTTTTTTTTAAATCAGAAACATTAGAATATTTCACCACTCTATGGGGCACATAAGATAGAAAAGTATGGCTTCAACTAAGGCTTCGTTTGAGACGGCTCTATCATTGCTTCTTAAAGCAGCTTTTTAGTATAAAATTTTTAATTTTTATACTAAAATGCTGCTTTAAGAAACAATAAGAAAGCCATCCCAAACGAAGCCTAAATATGATCTCCATTTTTAGGCATGGTAATTCAGTTAAGCATTAAAAATACCATAAAGTTGCACAAACCAAAAGTTTAGAAACAACTCAAATGACATGTTTGTTGAAGGCGCACTCCTAATCTTCTTCTTCATTGCATTTATTTCTACTCCTAATATTTCCGTTCAATATATTGCGCTTACTCCATAAAAGGGAAAGCATAATTTTGTACAAAAAAGTTCCTCTTACTTCCAAAAGAGGTACTTTAGTTCGCTTACATTAGCCTAATCATGCTAATCGTTATTACTAATGAAAACCTTATGTGCGGCAGTTGGTTGCCTTATTCACGCTTGAAGAAAATAGGTTAAGTTCATGATTGGCCTTTCTGCTTAGCAGGGGTGAGTTCAAACAAACCGATTAACAGGAGCCATGGATGCACAAAAGGCACAATGCTGCAGCACGTAACTAAATACCTGACTTCTCTTGAATTTTAGCACAATAGGAATATAAAAAATCCTCCACTTCTATGCCAGATTCATATTAAGATTAAAATAGAAAATATGATTGAAGTTCTGACCCATATTAGTAGATCCTAAATAAGCAAACAATAACTTACATTCAAGCTTACCTCAGCTCCAAAAATTCGCACCCCAACTCTTTAGAGAGCGTTTGTGTTCACGTCAAATTTTCAAAAGGCAGATTATATTGCAAATAAGACACTAACTAGAGATTTTGCCATCCTTTTACAATAACTTTATAATTATAGTTCCAATTTTTCCATAGACGCAAGCTCCTATGATTATTACCCCTCCCGATAATGCATTAAAATAGTCAACTAAGATAAGTCATTAGATGCTTACCATTTAGCTTATAATAGCAATAATTTGATTTTAGGATTGAGAAAATTCACTATCTTTAGATTAAAACAGATGGTAGAAGAAATGATTGTGAACTCAATTAAGATCCCATGATTCTATCATCCCACGTTGTCATAAACCCTAGTTTATTTAGTTAGCGAATATAGTTGACTCAACAGGTCTGAAGGAATCATATTAGCATCCATGTGTTGTTTCATCCTATGAGACCTTATAGATATGGCATGAATATTTGTCGAAAAGGACAATTTTAAGTTAACACTAATTAACAAAGAGATTAATTTCTTATCAAGGGCACCATTTGATTCACAACTTGAGAGAATGGAGCCATTGCAAAACATCTAGGCTCTGGACATGTCGTAATTCAATGGCATCATTTGTAACGAAGCAACCAATCCAAGGACCCCTGTCTTAACCATTATTTAATAGTGTCATTTGGTGATGAAATCACTTCGTTAAAAGACATGCTAAAACCTTAGTGACAAGATATTATTTGAGAGTGAGCATAGTGATATATTTGAAGTAACACTAACTCTTTTGAGTTGAGAACATTCTCAAATTTGTCACCCTCAACAACAGATTGTAGCAAAGGGGTGAATTTACTTTAAATTTTGGAGTGGTGGATTTAATGCTCGAAGTGTTTCTAGGTTTTTGTAAGCAATGAATCAAAATTGAACCATAAATTATTAGCTTTGGAATACGACAACATTTTGATGATAAAGATCTCCACAAATTGACATTCTCAATTAACACGGCCATCATAGAGGTTTGGATGCTTTTATTTTGTTGTTTTAACCTTGTCAAATCTTCTAACTTGCTTGCAAAGGATCATATTCACAATTTTTGCACACAACTTGAATTCATTTAGACATTCATTCCATTACAAATCCTGTGAACTCTACCCCAGTATGCAGAGTATTGGACTTGTGAATTGGAGTCGTGACGACACTATGAATATATATAGTATTGAGAGTAAGCATTAAAAAATATTTTTCTTCTGAAAGAGTTGAAAACCTTATGCAACCATGAGAGTGGAGATATGTTGCATTTTAGGCTTCCAACATGTGTTTGTCTCATGATTCAGGTATTGTCAACTCCAATTATCAAGACATAGAAGATCAAACTTGAAATGTGGGACTTACAACCTATCCAAGTTATCAAGACAAAAGAGGGCGGTCCGCTCGAGAACATGCTCATATATTGACGAATTAACTATGAAGAGATACTTTGTGAAGTTTCAAAATTATTGCATGCTGCACAAGATGGTGACATGCATATTCATATTATTTTCAGTGAACGCAACATTCTCCAATTTTAAATTTACAAGTTCAACACATTCTCAAACAAAAGTGTTTAGAATTTTACCAGAGTATATGAATTTTTCCAAAATAATTCATGCTTCTAAAGGAGAATGTAATTTAACTTAGATTTTATTTTAACTCGCACAACATTCTAATTTTTAAATTGGACATAGCGCATTGATAAGAGAACATACAAACCTTTTTACTTTATGCAAGTTTATGCATCTATTGAATGATGTGCATGCTTTTCAATGCATTTGCATAATATACATGAATTCTTTCGATGCTTTTGTGCATCGCACTTGAATGTTTCTCAGTGCATTTGCATGGCACGCTTGCATATTTATGGTGTATTTAACACACTAGCATGTTTCTGAATGCACTTGCATGCTTTCCATAATACTTGAAGGAATTTTGAAATGTTGCATCTTAGTTGGAGTCTTGGAGATCACCTAATGAAACTCATGTAAGTCCTGAAATTACCCAAATTTTGTTGTTTGCATGAAAATTGTCATTTGAGTGGATATAAATATTTCAATTTGAATTTTTAAATAACATATCTATGATACAATGATACTTCTCCACAAAGAGGTAAAAGTGTCTGACATGTATTGGACACGAAACACATTTAACACGCCTATGATACGTATCAGAGATGCCGAAGACATGTCTTATTAAAAAAATATTAAAAATTGAACATACGTGTCCAACACCTATCCTGATAACTTTATGATTTTTTTAAATATAATTTCATGTATTTCAACTTTTTTTACTTAAAAAAAAACTAAATTTTGGAGGATCACAGCTAGGATTTCACAAGAACAACATATGTCATCTCAACATCAATGTATAAGTCGACATCGTCACATCTCAGAAACCATTTAGAAAATGAAGTATGATGCTAGCATATTTCTAAACTCAAAATCACGACCCATGCCGTCTCGGCATCTTATCTTTGTCTCAACCACGATACTTCCGGATTTTCCCTTCCCCTAAACAGGATAGTGTTTCCATTTCTCCCATGGCCACACGTGGTTTCCTTCACTTCAGATGTCACCTGATTGGGCTTGACTTCAAGCAACTTCTTCAACATGTCTTCCACTACGGCGAACCTTCCATCCATCTTTTCATGGACGGATCCAAATTAGTTCTGAAAATCAGAAATTTTTCCTCAAAATTTGATTTTAGTTGACCCAATTCTCCCACCAAAACTTTCACTTTCCTCCTGACCATTCGTACCTCTTAGATCGACATGCTCTGATACCAAATTGATAGAAAATAGTCACCAAAATAGAGAAAACTATAGAATTTACAAAATCTGTAGAGAAATCACAAAGGCAAGCACTTGAAATTCAATAAGGGATGAAAAGAAACAACTCAATGCAATGAATCTTCAATTTGAGAGGAAGATTTAATCTCCAATCTCTAGCCGAAGTCTAGAGCCCAAACCAACACCAAGACCTCAAATTTCAGATTCAAATTCAAGATAAAATCTAACCCTAGAAAGAAGAAAACTACTTAAAGCAAAAGGACAAATCATTAATCTCTACACAACCCTTAATTTGAATTTTCCCTCTAGACCAATGCTTCATTAGTGACTGGGGCCCCATCCAAGCAACCCCCCCCCACCCCCCTTCCTTCTCTGAGGTTTAACAGTTAACACTTTCGACAAGTCTTATTGGGAATGAATGAACAAGCCTTAATATGCCTAGGAAACAAAATGGGGGTCCATTGGTGATGTTCGATAACCTCAATATTTTTTAACCACAAGTAGTGTCAAGCCTGGGTTTGAAAGATGGTACGCTGCACCCACACCAATCAAATTAACATGGAGCAACAATATCCATCAATGCTTAGTTATGAGAAGAATTAAAATGATTAGCATACAAATAAATGGCAATACATAAGAAGTCTTATGACAACATTGTGGGCTCCGAAAATTCGGCCTCGGCCTCCGCTCGCTTTTCTTATTCGGCGAGGGAGTTTTAACGAACTAAGTTCCGAAGTAAACCTTGGAAGGCAGATGGGTTTGTAGATAAGACACTACCCAGAGATTTCGCCCTCATTTTGTGAGGACTTTATGATCTGAGTTCTGGTTTCCTATAGGCGCAAGCCCCTATAGTTAATTACCCCTCCCGATAACAAGAGAGAACTTTCGATTAAGGCTAGTCATCAATCAGATACGTATAGAATACACGTTATCTGGCATATAGTAGCAGCAATGAATATGGATTGGAATTCGGCAGCCATGGGTTGCTTCGTCCAAGGGGAGCTTGTAGACCTGGGATGGATGTTTGTCTAAGGGGACAAA